ATCATTACTACAGTCAAACCCCGTTAGTAGAAAACTGACGGACCAAAGAAAAATAATTGTATTAAGCGGGTTTCGTATTAACCACTTCAAGATATATGGATTACAAGGTGTGTACAAGGTATTTTATATAGGTTTATATGTATAATTAAGAACTTTAGTAGCGTTAAATTGTTTACAAACAGATACAATTACTGCAAAGCCTAAATTCCTCGGACTCGGACTCGGACTCGGACTCGGGGGGTGCGGACTCGACTACAACACTGCCGTGCACTGCGCACATAGGCTTATATATGTATCATCTGTGTGCGTGCGTGGTAGCGTGTGCATGTACTCTTGCGTTTGCGTGCGCGCGTGCTTGGGTGGGTGCGTGTGTGCGTGTGTGTTTGTGCGTGTCTGTATGCCTGTGCGTTCGTGTGTGCGCGCGCGTGCGTGTGTGTGTGTGTGCGTGCGTGCGTGCATGCGAGCGCGCGCGCGTGTGTGTGTGTGTGTGTATATATGTGCATAATGTGGGTGTGTGCGTGCGCGCGTAGCAACGACTATCAGCAGCTTTCTGACAAGCAGATGCTACTTGCCTTGAGCTTGACGGGATACCACAAACGCCAGGTTGTTAGCGTATACATGACACCAGGAGCGTATAATGACAAATTTGTCATTATAATGAGCGTAATGGCGTATGGCGTAATGGCGTATAATGAGCGTATTTGTCATTATACGCTCCTGATGACACGCAAGCTTAACAACCCGCCAGTTATTTTAAGACAAATTTATTTAAAAAAATAGGAAGAGGGTTAATATATAAGTGAGAAAGGGCAGAGTAGAGAGCTCGCATAAGACTGATTGGCGTTATGTTGTGAGGAAAGTCATGCCTACTTAGGGGCAAGCATGGGGACGAATAGAGAAAATGAGAGGGATGTGGAATGAAAGGGTCGTTGAATGGAGTAGATGTGACGGTAGGCCTATATCTGCTATCAGGATACTTTCGTGATTTGTGTCAATTACTATTTCCGCTGCTAATTTTAATGGGGTCGAGCTTCCGTTTACGTTGACAACGTGTAATGAACCGGTAGTGATTTAATAGTTGTCACATCTCTAATTATTAATTCATTCATAAAAATGGTGGTAGATGACCTGGCCTGCGGCGATTCCAAGAACTCGTTAACGGCTCGCCTGGCGTCTGACCTGTCACGTGATTTACTGCCTTCACGTTACGGTACGTCATCAAGTTCCGAGATCAAATTCCGAATTTCAAACACAAAACTGTTGTCACTTAATTCTACTGTGCACGATACTCAATAGGCCAAGCCCGGTGCGTTACGAAAGGCTCTTTTGAATAACGTTCCAAGTATTCGACTGTTGTCATATCCGCTTCCGTCGTGCAGATCGTTTAGATAAGAGCATAGACTAAGAATACTCGCGAAATGAGGCGGCCATATTCGCTCGTTACGCTGATGAGACTACGATGATTTCTCTAAATCCCGGCCCGATTCATAGTAATCTGTTAGTAAAATATTGACTTGACACGAAGACAATAATACAAGGATCCTGTTACTGACATAAAATTTTCTGTCAAGGTATTTTCATTTCTATATAAAACACTTTGTACACACCTTCTAATTCATTGTTTTTCTCTTCAAATTAAGGCTAATATAATATACGGAACCCGCTTAATACGATTATTTTTCTTTGGCCCGTCAGTTTCGTACTAACGGGGTGCGACTGTAGTAATGAATAGTAGTAATTGAATGAAGTCCGCACCCCCCGAGTCCGAGTCCGAGTCCGAGTCCGAGTCCGAGTCCGCGCCACCCNACACACACACACACACACCACCACACACACACACACACACACACACACACACACACACACACACACACACACACACACACACACACACACACACACACACACACACACACACACACACACACACACACACACACACAAGACATATATAGGTACGCATATATATATATATATATCCTACATAATATATATTTTGTGAAATCAGGCCTGCGCTTGTCTAATCTATATAAATAATTGCTCCGTCGTACTTTCTCAAATAGCTTAGGAGTTTGGTTCGTGAATGACGAAAAAGCATAGATAGACGAGTTCTGATTCACTGTTATAACGAGTCTTTTATTTTATACCCATACATAATCCCACACCGTATAACACTTCTGAGCGTAGTAGAGTTGAAACGGTTGAGTTCTAAATCTTTAGTAATGAAGGATGAATCGCTCCCACCATCTCTTATCTTCTCAATCTCTCTCTCTCCCCCTCTCTCCTCTCTTCCCCATCTTTCTCTTCCACCGTCTTTTACGTATGCCTTTTCTCATTCATTCTCTTTCTTTCATTCACTGCCCTCTTTCTCTCGTCCCTACGCTTTCTCTCATTCTCTCATCTCATTTCAACCATCTAGGCGATGCCGATGAACGCTTTCTCAATAACTCTCCATATAATTGCTAACATATGTCTCGAACTAATAATTATATTATCGTAACACTATTACGAGTAACGCTACCTTCTTTGTTACATTTCTTATNTACCCTCGAAATTTCAAGCGGCAAACATAACATCAGGCAAAAATGAATTATTTTAACATAGTACGTTTGTACTTGTCTATATGTGTAATAGATAAAAAAAATATTGCTCAGGAATACGTTCATTCAAAGCTTTTAGACTACAAAGTGAAAGTGTCGGATCGAATGTTTCAAATAGCGTTTACTTTTGCCGCTCTGCGGCGATGTTGTGACGCGTCTCTTGTTGCCATGCGGTGTTGCTAAACGCTGAAGATCATGAAAGCTGCATGTGCTCATAGATATCATCAAGAGTACATAATAGAGATAATAGAGATCTCTATTATGTACTCTTGATATCATATAACACGTGTTATATGATATCTATGGCTGTGCTGGCCGTGACCTGCATCGACTCTTGTCGCCATGATACAGAACCGCGGCGTAGTGCGTTTTTCGAGTTGTTTTTTCGTTAAGGGAATATAGGCTTGATACATATTTTTACAGTTTCATTTTCAAAGCTAACGTTCAGTTAAAGTGTAGTGAGTTATTTACTTGCGTTTTTACAGTGGTTTAATTGTCACAAAAATGTGCGTGGGCAGGAATCTTTAAAGTAATATTGTACTGCCGTTGCGTGCGCAGATAACAACAGGTGCCTATAAACATATTACAATAGCAAGGATTTATTATTATATTGGTGTATTAATTATTGGCCGTGGCTACGTGCCCGGTTACCGGACGCCTAGCTCCCAGGCTACACGTCCGGTCAGCGTGATTTTTTTCCTATAGGATAATCAAGAAGATAATCATGGGCTCTAGAGAGCGCTGCCATTGGTTGATACAAATTACGTGCCTCAAACTCCTGTTTTATGGTGCATTGTGACCCTAACCCTAACCCTAACCCTATTTTTTTTAAATATATAAAAAATTAAATTTTTAATTGATGTAAAAATTAATTGTTGTTATTAAATTGTTGTAAATAAATCATGTAAATATTTGCGTTAATTGAAAAAAAAAGGTTAAATGGATAAAGATAAAAAAAAATACAGAAAACAGGAAAATAATTAAAAAACGGATGGTATTCGATCCAACGACCTTTCAGCCGTGACGTTCGTGCTGTACTCGTTCGGCTATTCAGGGTTATTGAAATTATGGATTATGGATGTGCTATGAATATTACGACACTGTGACGTCATTGAGCGACGAAACAAGCTCAACAAATGGCAGTGCTCACTAGAGCCCTATGTTCTTGATTATCCTAGGAAAAAAAATCACGCGTCCGGTCATCCATTTCTTATGTGAATCCAACTATAATTATATTTCAGTAAAAAACACTAAACAGTAATTTTTGCCATATTAATACTTACGTTTAGGTATTTTATCAAAAAACGTGTTTTTGTAACTCTTGCAACAATAGTAAATCCAATAGAATCAACGATTTGAAAGGGGCGTGGCCTAATCGTGACGTAGATTTGGGGCACTTGCCATAACATACACGATATGCACCGGTGCAGTTTTGGTTGTGAAGCAGTTTAATAAATAGTAGAAGTCTGTACGAAATTGACCACAAACAACGCAACGCACGCGTTTCTATTCAACAATTTGTTACTAACACGGTAACACCTGATGATCTCGTGTGAAATGGATGACCGGACGCGTGATTTTTTTTCCTAGGATATTGGTTGAGCTTGTTTCGTCGCTCAATGACGTCACAGTGTCGTAATATTCATAGCACATCCATAATCCATAATTCCAATAACCCTGAATAGCCGAACGAGTACAGCATGAACGTCACGGCTGAAAGGTCGTTGGATCGAATCCCATCCGTTTTTTAATTATTTTCCTGTTTTCTGTATTTTTCTA